TACTAATAAAATCTTGTATAGTCTTAGATTTATTAGTTTTTATTTACATTCATTTTTTTAGTCTTTCACATTTTTATTTAATTTAATTTTCTTAGTAGTTATAAAACATATAAATTTGATTTAGTGTGTATTAAATGAAAATTTTAAAACTTAAATGTTTTGCCTATACGGACACTTTAGATGGAGAGAAAACTCTCTAATTATATAATAGATTATGACATTTATATGGTAACTACCTCAAATAATACAATGATAAAGCAATTTTTGAATAGAACAATTTTATGCTCATATTTATCTATTTATGTGATGTGATATCTATGGAATTTTTGATGGTATTTAGAACGATTGAATCCGGTGTTATTTAATTTCCTTGTTAAAAAGACCAAATTACCAGAAATTTTATAAATTTTATGATTAACAATTGTAGTTGATGTTACCATCATCACCACGACCACCAATTACTATATTATTATGTATGCGCCTATTATAAATCAGGAATAATATGAAAAGCATATGTTATATTCTATATAGCAAGAATGGCATAAATACTCTCACTATCATACTTGCATTACTTAGTGGGATCCCTAGAATTCTTTCTAACTCAAAATTATATTAAATTCATATTTTAATTTTTAAATTTTCTCATGAAAAAATAATAATAACCCTAAAATCCACCTATAAAACCAACCTCATACCCTCCCACATTTCTCCATCAGCTCTTTCTTACATCACATTTCCATTGTACACTTTATACCAAAGTACGTACAGAGATATGGCTTTAAACACATGGAAGCCATTCCTAACTGTTATTTCTCTACAATTTGGATATGCTGGACTATCGATCATAGCGAAATTCGCTCTGAACCGAGGCATGAGTCCTCACGTTCTAGCCTCATATCGCCATATCGTCGCTACTCTTTTCATTGCTCCATTTGCCTTCTTCTTGGATAGGTAAACCATCTTTCATTTCGCGTACATAAAATTGTATAATGGTCATGCATGCATGACCTTCACGTATTTTATACGTAAATGTAACATAATTTGCCTAGGCTAATTGGATCTACGTATTCTTAGTTAATGTGCTTACTGATTATTTTTACTTTAATTTGCTTTTCGAATGAGCAGGAAAATACGGCCCAAGATGACGTTGCCCATCTTCTTCAAGATATTGTTGCTTGGGTTATTGGAGTAAGATTTATTCCTTGTGCTTTTTAAGAATTATATTTTCTTTTATTATGTTTTGAGTATGAGTGCTTAAGTAAAATGTTGTGTTTATATGTTTAGACCAACAATTGATCAGAACTTATACTACATGGGTATGAAGTACACATCCGCGACTTTCACAGCTGCAATGACCAATGTTCTTCCTGCCTTTGCCTTTATTATGGCATGGATCTTCAGGTAACCACATGCATAAGTTAAA